TGCAAATGTTCTATGTTGTTTACTTTAAAGTATTTACATATTTTCTTATATAATATTATTAACTGCCGCAATTCACTTAATAATTGATTGTACAGACGTTAAATTAAGACTTCATTCGACATTTCTGCATACTTTCTGAACGAACATACACGTACATAGATAAGCGCAAAACTCATATATACATATGTACATAAGTATATACAAGTGCATATTCAGTATGTTAATTATTAAAGATTTATATTGTGCACAAGCAAATGGCGCATTTGCAACGTGAGTTCAACAATCTGCGTCAGAAACTCTATACAAGCTTAAGCAGGGGCGGAGTTGTAGCATATTCTTTCTGCGAAATTAAAAGGTAAGGTGTATATTGAACTAAACTATTACTTTATTATTAATGATATTTTTTTCACTACAAATTTAGCTGAACAGACTAACCCATCACTTCCTACACAAGTCAGACGCACAATTAAAGCAAGAAATTCCAGGTTTCCCTCATTGAAGGAACGCCACTGTTTTATAAATCCAAGGTATATATAGAAATTCAGTGGCTATCAACAAATTCATAAATAATGTGTTTGTTATCACTTTTATTTAATATACATACTCGTACATATATACATATATATTTGTGTACTTGGACAAAGATTTCACAATAACAGCTGATACAAAACCATTTCAGGTAGCATAATTTTAAGTAAAGCAGTAGAGCAACAAGATTAAATTATTTAAAAATATAATATATTATCCGGTATTAATGACACTTTTTTTACTCTTTCTGTGCGGTAATAATCGAAATGTTACGAAATATAAATTAGTAACGAAGGTTTTCTTATTAATTTAATTTAATTTCAATTTGTTTTTGTTATTTTAATTTATTTCATTTTACTTTACTTTATTATACTTTACTTTACTTTACTTTATTTTATTTTATTTTATTTTATTTTATTTTATTTTATTTTATTTTATTTTATTTTATTTTATTTTATTTTATTTTATTTTATTTGATTTTATTTGATTTTATTTGATTTTATTTGATTTTATTTGATTTTATTTGATTTTATTTTATTTTATATTTTTTACATTTTTGTTTCAATTTCTCACGCTTTATTTGTTTATTGTTTTATAATATATTATTTTGTTTTAATACATACAAGTATATATACATATATATATTTTATGCGTTGCTAGAAACTAAAAACATCTCGTTTGAAACGAAAAAATAACCTTAATTCAGATTGAATCACGTTTCACTAACCGGTTCGAGTGGAAAATTTTTTATAGTTAACAAATGTGATCAATACGTTGAATAAGCATATTGTCGTTATGTATTTATTTACATTTTTTAAGTATGCGTAGAGACATAACGTGTCAGTTTTGTTTGTTTCTTTATTTGCTTGATCTTTCAAAGGTGTGAATCACACTTTATGTTTATTTCCTTCAAATTGTAATTGAATATACATACATAGACATTAGTCTATTGTATGTACATGCATATAAGGCTATCAAAAGTCAGCATATGCGATAAGAAAACCGTTGATGGCATGCGAATAACATATTTTGGAGGTAGAAACGTTTGAATATACAATAATCATATATTTTCAGTAAACTACAAAGCAAAACACGTCTGGAGTGTGTACATATGTATGCATGTATGGACATACGTGTATTATTTTTTAATATTCAATATTTATTTTCTGATAAAAATTAGATTAAGACTTGCGCAGGTATATGCTTCATGAATATCACGTGCCCCTTGGTTGTGCGTCACATATTCTTGTGAATTGTTTATTAGATATTATTCCTAGACTTTAAACTTTTTACTTGGAAAAAGTATAATAAAAAGTAAAGTAGCAAACAAATTTGTAGTTTTTTTTTAAGTACATGTAAGAAACTAGATCTGAAAGCAAAAATTTAAAACCGAAACCCTTTGCAATTCAATTTCAAAAAGCTAAGCAAAATCTTTAAGCTTCGCTTTTTTTGGTTAGCATGAAATTTGAATACTACTTTGTATAATCAACTTTCTTTCACGTCATAGCGGCGTAGCAGCCAAAGCAACTGTAGCGTGTGTTATATTTACATAAACACAAATAAATACATTTAAACACATGTACGAATTTTTTCAAAAAAAAAAAAAAAAAAAAGAAAAGTAAAATTATGCGTTCAAAGAAGATCTGGAATACTCGCTGTATAAATATGTAAGAAATAAAAAATATATAACCAATATACAATATTTTTGCACATTCCAGTCTAGTTTTTTTTCTCTCTTTTCTTTTCAAATTTCACTTCTTTCACTTTTTTGTGCTTTTTAATTTTTTTTTTACCTTATAGGCAATTGCTCGGCGTCAATCTTTGGCATATTTTTAGTAGACTCATCCAATGTATTTTAAACTGTTTAAATGTGTTGTTTGTGTCGATCAAAATATATTTTAAAGCTGCATATAAAAATAGATATGCTACAGCCGTCGGACGACCAACAAACAACAGCGACACTACAATGTCAAAACAGCCGATGAGCAGCAATATATGTATGTACATACTAAACATATCTACATATAATATGTAAATATGTATCTACTATCTATATAATATACACGTATATTTGATGAAGACAAGTGCTGCTTTTTTCCTCTCGATATTGCTCCGTTTATGACCTTCTAAAGGACACACGTGTGCAATTCAAAAGCAACAATATCAAACTCAACAGGCGAACAAAACTAAATAAATGCCTCACAGCAGCTACAAACTCGTATATACAAATAAATGGCAAGCTTTCTAACATACTTTATTCTTCTATTCATTTCTACTTATCATCATGTGTACATGTATACACGTATGTTTGTACATATTCATATTAAATATCTGAATAACAATGCGCCTGGTCGCCTACTCATATCGATGGAGTATTGTGTGAATTTGAAATTATAATCGGGTAATACATACATACGTATATGCACATTAATACATACATACATATTTCATATATATAAATCTAGGAGCAAGTGCTGCCCACTCAGCCAATCAATATGCATATTGGCACAAATGTGTGAATACACTTAACTACAATAGTCGTATATACATTCATATTTATTTATATTTATGTTTGTATATTTGTGATATATGCAAATTTACAATTTTATATAAATTGCATATTATATCAAAAATTTTTATAAGAATTCAAGAGCGGTATAGCGCAAACGTTGCGATTTTATATTCTTATGTTCAAATGTATGTATGTATGTACTTTTATTTCTATAAATATTTTGCTTATTATTCGTAAAATTCTGAGTGCAGTGCACACTTGTTAGGCTTGCCGTCGTTGATCTAGTGAAATGTGCAAGTATGTATGCATGTACAATACATACATACATATGTATACATTCATAGCGTAATTATCATGGCATTTGTAAGTACATATGTAGGAGTGGTTATGTGCTTGGAGAGCGATAGCTTTTCAATTGAAGATATTAAAAATACAAATTAATAATAAATTATTAATTGATGTGTTGTCGTCAGCAATAATAATACTAACAATGTTTGTTGTTATTACTATTTCCATTTATTTATTTAGCGATATACTATATAATATATGTATATGTACTCGCACACTTACACATTTATGCTTATAGATCTAAGTATTTGTATTGCTATTGACGTTATTCAATCGCTGTTCATTAGCTTGTTTAGCGTCGTTGCGTCCCCATTTTCTACATACTCGTATGTGAGTATATATATATATTTCGTTAGCCAACAAACCGGGCACTGTACAACAATATTTTTGAATAACCGCCACCCCGCCACCACGCCACCATTGGGCAGAAAAGCCAAACGCCACATTCGCGTTACGTTGATCACGTTTGCCATGTCGTGCGTTTAGTTTTATTTCATTCGAGCACATAACACGCTTAAAATACGAATGTTTTAATTATTCCCACGTTTTTTCTAGCGCATTCTCTTTATTCACATGCGATTATACAATAAATGGAGTGGTGAGTTGTATATAAACATACTTCTCTATACATACATATATCTACTTAGAACCGGGTCTGTTATTTGCTTAAAATATTATTACTGTTTGTGTTTTTATTGCTTGTTGTTGCTTAGATACAAATGTTGAGACTGCTAAAATTTAAATTCATTTCGAATCTTTTCTGTTTTATTATTGTTTTCTATTCTTTCAGACGGCACAATAATAGCGCACATACATATGTTTATGTATGTATGTATACAAAAGTATGTAGCTGAAAAGCTGTTTTTCGAATATTTCGAGCTTGAAATAGAAAAATGATATATTGCATTACGTGAGTCAAATAAATATACCTTAAAGCTTTAGTGGCTAATGTAAATTAATATAATATTAAAGGTTCAGTACACTGCCTATATATTACTAAAAAAAAAATGACTCAAAAATCACAGACAAAATGTTTAGAAATAATATTTAGGTTTCCCTTAACCTTTCATATACTGATAATTTGCTATTGAGCGATACCGATATTTGAGCAAATTCATTAATTATTAAATTAAAATACTGTATGCAAAAATTTTTAAAATTTGTACATATAAAAAATATAAACAATTGCAATACAATGATTCACTGTAGTGTCGGCGGCATGAGTCAACTGAATTTCTTCACCATTTCCGGTCATAAAATTATTACTAGAATTTCTAATATAAAATATGAGTATTTTTAATAGAAAAAAATCAATTTTTCAATGGGCCAACATATGCACATATTTCTTTGAATGCTTGAATTTTTGATATATATTTTTTTTTTGTTTTGTAACAGTTAATCACTAAAACTAAATATAAAAATAAGCTTAAATATTTTTATTAAAACATGATTATGTATAATTTTTCATTTATCTTTAATATTGTACAAAATTCCGTATAAAACTTTACTTATATGTACGTTTTAAATAAATATATATTAAAAAAGACTATACAAAAAAAATTAACTACAAAATGAAATTTAAATAAACAAACAAATAAATGTTCATACCTACCTTTCATACTTAACCGAATGTGGAGCGTGTCCATTCGCTTCGCCCCAATACGATTCCATAACTTCGTACTTAATTTTGTTGCTATTTGCTGGTTGCAGTTGAGGTGGAATGATGGCAATTGTCGTTGGCTGACTGGGAACAACAACAGCAGCAGCAGCAGCACTTCGAACAGCCGTTACAAGAGTGTGGTTTGCAATGGTGGTCGTCTTCGTTGTAAGGCTCGCAATGATGTCGGCGTGGTTGTGTTCCCTGGGCGAAACCAGTAACGTACAACTTTATTAATTTGAGCTACACCTTGAGTTACGTGTATGTATTGCAGTTATATCACCTATACTTTTTTTACCGCTTGGCTGGCGGACGAAAATTTCCCTTTTGAAGGTTGTTGCAAACTCGATGGGGTAACAGGTTGTCGTCGTGATTTTTCGCAATGTAAAACTTTTCAGGTCGGTTTTCACTGCGTGTAGGTATCAATTGTTTTACTGTTTTATATTTCACTTTAAATACACGTGTTTGCTGTATTGTTGCAGGTAATACATAAGTTTACGGTGGTTGGAATTCCCCTTTAAATTTTTTACTTTATTATCTGTTTTTTTGATTTTTTTTATTTCTAGATAAGATAATGCACTTAACCGAAATTCGTGTTACGAGAAAATAGGAGTGTGTGTAGGAAGAAAGCTTCCGTCTCCCGGGAACAGGTACTAGATTATCACAATTTCACTTTTTTATTATTCGGATTCGTGTTTTAGGTTAATGAATATTATTTTCTTATTAAATAGTTATTATAAAACACTTAGCTAGCCGACACCACAATTTTCACTATTGAACGGTTGAAAATATCCAAAAATGATCCCAATATCGGCAGGCAATTAAATCATGTACTTGTCGTCTTGTATCTGAATTTAACATAACATTTCACTTTTTCACAGATTCCAGTTAATTCATTTTCTATTTAAACTATTTAATTTATTAACTTAAGTTCACTGGATGCACTTTTACAGATTTACATATGTACGTGTGTGTAGTATATACATATTTATTATTTATTAAGAACCTCTTTGTCACAGTTGTATTTAACACTTTTTGAGGAAATTAACCAAAATACACATTTATTTTAACTGTATTCCTTGCTTTACAAATCTACTAGCGCGGAGAACATTGAGCACATGTACGTAAGTACGTAGTAAGTATCGTGATTGTGTAGTTTTTAAAAATTGTACTGCACTGATAACACTTTTCTGATATTAATGGCGTAGATATTTTTATATTTTGTTATCTCCTTATGTTTGTGTATGGGTATACTCAAATGCATATGTATATAAATTAATGCAAAGAGGTATACAGATTTTTTTAAGTTATTTATATATACTAAAGTGCACTCGGTAACTGCATACAAATACAAATTTTTTTATAGGTGGTATTTGCTGTTGTTAATACAAATTTTGTTGCACTATTAGTTCAATGCAGATTTACATCATTTCTTTAGCCAGGAACATTTAATATTATTTATGTGAATAATTTCACAAGAACAGCACACACAATGATTAAGAATTTTTAAATTATATAAATTATCTTCACCTTGATTAGTTAATTATGTGAATAAATATTTTTGTTTTCTTTATTAATTTGTCAATTTTCATTTGGAATTTTCCACCCAGACGTGTAAATAATACAGTGGTAGCAACTATGACTCGAAAACAGCAACTGCGACGGCAACAACGATTGCAATGACACCGCCCGAATTACTTTTTCGTCTTGTATTTAGCTTATAAGCTTTTTTTATTTGTTTCGTGTTATTCGTTTCCACTTTTATTAGTTAGTTTTATTTCGTACAAAAACCTTGAATCGCCTCCCAGATGCGGCGCGTACTAAAAATTAAATTTACGAAAGTAAAACGTGAAAAAAACTGGCGAAAACGTGATTTTTCAAGATATCTGTGGCAGCAAGTAGCACACGAACTTTTATTTCATTTAACGTTTCCTCAGTGGAAAGCTTTCATCAGTGTAGGTATGTATGAATGCACATACAAATGTGTGTATTATATATGTATGTAAACGTTTTTCAATTTGTCACGTTTACGTTGTTCAAATATTCCTTTTCGTTTTTTTTTTTGTTGCAGTTTTTGGTTTTTTGTACTTTGTATTTTTGTCCAGTTTTACTGAACTTTTCACGTCTCTTTATACTCTTTTTTCCTTTTCTTACGAGTACATATATATGTATATATCTTTTCCAAATGGGTTTGCACCAGTTGCTCAAAAGATTTTTTTTTTAATTTTCAACTGCCTGCTACGAAGTGGAATGTGAGAATTTTACAACTTTTTTTTTAATCTGCAGCTTTGAATATTATTTATATATCATTTTTTAACACTATCCATTCTAAATGATAATACACATTTTGTAAAAAGCGGATGTAACCAATTTTGTATCAGCTTTACACTTGCTGTAATGAATAAATTATAAACGCGTGGAAATTTAACGCCCTACCGTGTGACAGCACAATCTCAACTGAAATGAATTGAACGGAATTTCTAAAATTAACACGAGACTCAACACGGTACGAAACTTTAGCAACGACCGCAGCAAAACCCAAAGACAACAACAGCTATGACTACGACAACAGCAGAACTACTACATAAGCATTTTCAATTATTTATCCCCTGTAGGGAAGTGTTTGAAAGCTCATTTGAAAGATATGTATTTAAATCGAGCAACCGGAATAAGCCCAATTCATTTCCGGTCTTGGAACGTTACAAGAGATAGGGAGCGTTCATAAACAACGTATCACGCTACGTCTTGGGCACGCCATCGGTGGATGGAGTATGGAGTAAAGCTAAGGGGGTTTGTTCAGATTAAACAAATATTATACATGTTATAGTAGGTTAATATGTTGTTTTTATTAATTCATTAGTGGCTTAGTGTTCGATATAAAATTGGAAATTATTCTCATATTGTGCAACGTAACGTAAATAAACTTCATATGAGTCTGATCAAATTAATTAATCTAAATGTAAAGTAACACCTAAAACAGATATCAAGTCTTATATAAATATATGATATATTTATGCCAGGTTATGCGTATGTACACAATAATAAACATTTTTAAATATTATATCAATTTTATTTATGCAATATTTCTCTATAGGGTAAGCGCTTATATTCGTATACATTATCTACATACATACATATGTACACACATGTGAATCTATATCTCCATATATAAATAAGTAGGTATGCACTTTTATATATTTATTAATATGAAAACACGAACTGATATCAGCGGTCGTTGCCAGTTACTAATGGGTTTAATTGTTGTTATTGCACTTGCAATCGTATTCCAGTATGGTGGTTTATACTTTGTGATATAGATACGTATATATATACATATATATATAAACACATGTATATAAAATTCATTGTTCTTTGAAACGAGCTACTAAAATCAAGTTCGGCACAAAGAATTTAGCTCTCGTCGTGTTCTATATTTCCCCTTTGATCCCCTCTCTCCTAAATGCTCAAATTGTAGGTTTTTCGTATTCACCTATTATCTGCCTCAGCTGTTCGTTGAAAAGTTAGAGTAAGAGACATATATAAAATAGAGAGAGATGATTTGTTTTCATATTTGAAGCAACTGTCCGGCAACACTACGTCATCGAAATGTCAAGCTCAACAGGGTTGTTAGGTTTTTAAACTTGGGAAGTAGTTTGTCAGTCTAAGTTTTTAATTGATTCGATTTTAAAATGTTTGTTTCTTTGAAATATTTTAAATATTATGTCTAGTAATAAAACATTTGTTTCATGGTGCTGAACCACATGTTTTTCGGAAGCTACCAAATAATATCTTTCTACTATTATTTGTATTATTTTCCCAAAATCCTACAAAATCATTTGAATTATATCTTTGGAGTTTGACAATCAGTTTGGGACTATAAAATAATAGCATACAAATTTTCAGACCATTGTTAAATTTTTTAATTTGTTCTATACCAAGAAAAAATTTATATTGTTAATGCAACCCTGTATCATATTTGGGACGCAACACAAGTTAAAGTGTTTGTTAAAAAATTATTAAAATGTGCTGAGGTTGAGTTAGCATTCCGTTACCTGATATTCATTAAATATTTTTTTTACTTAAATAGTTACTTAATTTAGTTATTTTCACTGTGTATATGTCGCTGTAGTTTGTTTTCTTAAAATTGACAAGAATACACAATGTTTTAAGTGCGAATATTCATTCTTTAGCGGACTGACCGCATTATATTACTACGCCATTATTCTTAGAAAAGCTCCGTTAATTGAACAAAATAAACTGTCGTTAATATACATATATGTATATCAAAAGTGTGCATAAACATTCTGGTGAGTTTTGTAGATTGTATAAATTGTTTAATATCAAAAGGGCTTAATGCGGGGTTAATTAAAATATATTATTGGTACAATTAACGGTTGTTGCAGAACGAATTAACCGAGAAGGCAGAGGAAAACTTTAGTCCCAGTGGGTTAGGGTTTCGAAAATTTGCCGGCAGTAAGGTAAGGTAGTCATAATAGGCGACTGAAATCCAATAATTCCCTCGGCAGTCGGGTCTTTTAACCGGAACGACCCGGATTTATAATATTCGCCAAGAACCATTTTGTGGATACACCAGCAGGAGAACTCTAGCTTTTACGAGCGATGCAATAATGTAGGAACGGATTGTAGTAGATTAAACTCTTACTTATCAAGACTTAACCCGATACGTTAGGCATGACGAACCTCACTAGGCTAAAACCTACTCATTTCACAGAAATTTCTATAGTCCAAGCGATGTCGTTTCTTGGACCTCTTCGTTAGATTATTTCGAAAACATCGATTAACTTTGTCCGTTCTTTAGCGGTTTTAGCCGTTACAACAAAAGCGAAGCGGCTTGTGAAATAGAGATGTCGGACTCTTTCTTATTGTTCGTCTTTGCAAGAGATAACTTTGTTGAATAATTAAAATTTCTAGAACTTGAAAACACATCATGACTCCACATCACATCAAAAATTCGAGATTTAACGATTTTAGTCCCTCGGCTCCTGATTATAGTGTATAATACCGTAATAGTTAAATATTCCATATGTGTTGTTAGTTCATGATTGGAACTCCGTTTTTTTTCATTTGTACATTTACCGGTAGTTGTAAAAATTCCGTTATATTATTTATCAGACTGACGCCAAAAAGAATGTGCAATCGGAGTTTTGATTCTTAACAATTTCGAGTGTAAGTAAAAAGTTTAGCAAAAATTTTCCTAGAAAGTGGTATTGCAGTTTTAAGCTTGAATATTAAATTTAGGTTATTGTAAAAGAGGATTTGATATGTATTTATTAGATGTTTTTAAAAAATATAACGAATATTTTAAAAACTTTCGGAACTTCAGATTCCAATTATCATTACATGAAATGAGACCCACAAAATTTATACCGATTAGGTTAGAATTAAGAATTGAGTGGATTTAGCAAAGTCAGTTTGTTTGCACGCAATCTTGTCTCCAAGATTTTGGGATATTTCAACCAACCTTGGTACACAGATGGACGGGTACATTTAAACGATCTATAACCTATACGTATACTTTCGAAAAAATAGCTAAGAGCCTGAAATATGATAGCATCCCAACAGATATTGTTTGCACTGCAAAGCATTATGCTCCTTATAAAGCAATTGACCGGCCGGTCGTAAACTATGCTGCCGATCTGGGCGCCGGGGACGAACGAGACGTAGATGAAGAAGTTACAGGCTTGCCAGAACACCGCCCTCAGGACCGCGACAGGAAACCTCCTGATGTCGCCGGAGCATCACTTGCACAGGGAAGCATCTATGCTACCGTAGGAAGCACCCCAGTAGGTACCTAATAGAAGCTGAACCTCCACCTCCCTTCCAGTGAATGGCGTACTCGGAGAAATACCAACATCCTATAGCAGACAAGCAGCTCGAGCTGCCTCGAGAGACCAGCGTGACCCTGACACAACTCAGGTCTGGATATTGTAGCAGGTTAAACTCCTACTTACGCAGACTAGACCCCAGCATACCCAACGTATGCCCTGCATGTGGAGAGTCTCCGCACGACACTAACCACCTCGTCACATGACCTCTCAAACCAACTCATCTAACCCCCCTCTTCCTTTGATCCAACCCCGTCGAAACAGCTCGTTTCCTGGACCTACCATTAGATGACCTCGGCGACTTAGACTGATCAAACCTGTGCCTAAGCGGGGCTAGTGAACAGCTACAACAACAACATGCTCCTTAACGCGCAGCATAGATGTTTCGCTGTGCAAGTGTTGCCCAGACGTCATTAGGTTTTCTGTCACGGTCCACAGTGTGGTATTTTGGCAGGCCTGTAACATCTGCAACTGCGTCTCGTTTGTCTCCGCTGCTCAGATCGGTGGCAAAAAATAGTAAAATTTGCACCGAGCGCAATTTTAACAATTCGTTACTGGCTAATTCGAACTGAATATTTTTTGTGACTCTCGAGTCATCTCACAGAATATGTACATATGTTTGCCCAACCTTCGTTCAAATATCTTAGAAATTGAGGGACAAATTTGCGGTCAATAATAACGAACACACATTTGACAGACTTACGTGGCTAGATCAATTCAGCTTGTCGCCTGATCATATCGTTTTCTGTGTCTATAACTTTAGGGTATAAAAAGATGTGCTTCGAAATATATATCATGTTTTTTACCATTTTAATTTAATTTTTTTATTTTTACAAATTATTTAATTAAACCTTAAAACGTTCGTATATAACTCGCTTTATTATAAAAAATAAGATCCCGTTCTTTAATCTTTTTTGTTTTAGATATTATTGAAAAGCATTCAACAAAGAAAACCAATTTTCACGGATTTTAACAACCTTTCTCGGTTTTTATTTTTTTAGAAGGTAATTACTTTATGATGAAAATATCTGTTATAAAAAATGGAGAATATGCTTGTTTGTATATAAATAACTAACTACTCATTATATTTCCGCTCACAGAAATGGCAACACGTGGTCGCGGTTTTCTTTTCTCCCTCAAGGTGGACAAAGACTCGACTGGCAGCGAATCAACTCTAAGAGATAGTGGCTTAGGCACTAAAAGTCTTCAATCTGTTGGCGAGTATCGACGCTTCGGTAGAGGCAAACTTCTAGATGATTTGGCTTCCTCATGTAGTAACATGACACTTGAAGTCCGTTCATCTGATGATACCAATCAAGGAAATATAACTTCTACAACTGATTCGAATAAGCCTTCTACGTCGGGAGGGCGCGGGCGCGGGCGCGCCAGTGTCTTCAAAAGTTTATTTAGTGAGGAAAAACCGGAACCCAAACTTGATACAAAACCCATTTCGGTACCCTTCCCTATGCCAGTGAAAAAATCTGAACAAAAACCAGAATCAACACTAGACCCAGAGCCCGCTGAAGATGTAATTCCATCTGACGTTTACAACCCTGAGGTGAAACACGGAAGTAAAGGCAAACCAGTGCGTTTGGCTTGCAATTACATACGTTTGTCGTCTGATCCAGAGAAAGGCGTGTATGTCTATGAAGTGCGATTTCATCCTCCCGTTGATTCACTCAATTTGCGCATGAAGTATCTAAACGAGCATCGTGATAAATTTGGTGGCACTAAAACGTTCGATGGAGTCACCTTATATTTGCCCATTTTGCTAAAAGATAAATTGACGACATATATTTCTAAAAGTGTTGCAGATAACACCGATATCGAAATACGTATTTTATTTAAACGCAAAGAAGCTTTAAAGAATTGCATACATCTTTACAATGTACTATTCGACAGAGTTATGAAAACACTAAACTACGTACGCTTCGATAGGAAACAATTTGATCCCACAGCTCCAAAAATCATACCACAGGCAAAACTCGAAGTTTGGCCAGGATATGTGACCGCAATTGATGAATATAAAGGTGGTTTGATGTTGTGCTGCGACGTATCCCATCGACTTTTATGCCAGAAGACTGTACTTGAAACACTAACAGAGATTTATCGCTCTAATTCCAATTTGTTTCAAGAAAATGCTAAAAAATATCTGTTGGGTTCAGTTGTTATAACACGTTACAACAACCGCACATACAGAATCGACGATATTTGTTTCGATAAGAGTCCAAAATCTAAATTTCAAACCAAAAATGCTGAATTATCTTACATTGATTACTACAGGCAGAGCCACAACATTTTAATCAAAGACGAAACCCAACCACTTATAATAAGCATAAAGAAACAAAAGACTGCTGATAAGCAAGCGGCTGAAGATCTAGTAATTTGTCTGATACCTGAATTGTGTTATTTGACAGGCTTGAGGGATGACATTCGCTCAGATTACAAGTTAATGCGTGAAATTGTTACTTTTACGCGTGTCTCGCCAAACCAGAGACTACTGGCTTTGGAGAAATTCTTCACTAATGTTAACAATTGTCCAGAAGCACAAAGTATACTTCAATGTTGGGGACTTACGTTGAAAAATTCACACGAGACTTTGAATGGCAGGCAGTTTAATGAAGAGCAAATTTTATTTGCTAAAAAGCAATTCCCCGCCGGTGTAAACGCAGATTTCTCCAAATATGTTTGTAACAATGAAGTTTTGGAAGTAGTCCATTTGACCAATTGGATATTAATGCACTGCAAAAGTGATACCAGGTGTGCCAAGAATTTTTACGAGCATGTTGATCGAAATTCACGTGCTCTTGGTATACGCGTTGATAAACCGAAAATGGTTACATTGGAAAACGATCGCATTGACACCTATGTGAAGGCATTGAGAACGCACATTGATGGTCAAACACAAATTGTGGTATGCATCAGTCCAACAAATCGCGATGATCGTTATGCGGCTATTAAAAAGGTTTGCTGTGCAGAAATACCAATACCTTCACAGGTAATTAATTCGCGCACACTCTTAAATGAGGCCAAGAATCGTTCGATCGTGCAAAAGATCATGTTGCAAATGAACTGTAAGCTAGGTGGATCCTTGTGGGCTGTAAAAATACCCTTTAAAAATGTTATGATCTGTGGCATTGACTCATATCACGATGCCGCTCAAAAAAGTAATTCGGTGGCAGCATTCGTGGCCTCATTAAACTCAAATTTCACTAAATGGTACAGCAAAGCAGTAATACAGGGCAAACGTGAGGAAATTGTTAACGGTCTATGCTCATCGTTTATAGCGGCAGTGACACGTTTTCATAGAGAAAATGGCAGATATCCTGATAGCATTATCATATATCGAGATGGTGTTGGCGATGGTCAATTGCCTCTATGTTCCGGTCATGAGATACCACAATTAGAGGCCGCTTGTAAACGTGCCTTTAATGATTATACTGTTAAAATCACCTTTGTTGTTGTACAAAAACGTATAAACACGCGTTATTTCGCCATTAACGGTTCCAATGTAGAAAATCCACCACCAGGTACAGTCGTTGATGATTGTATTACACGTTCCAAAATGTACGACTTTTATTTAGTATCGCAGACGATTCGCCAAGGAACTGTAACACCTTCACATTACATTGTGCTAAGAGATGATTCCAAATATAGTCCTGACATTATACAAAGACTGACATATAAACTATGCTTTATGTACTACAATTGGCCAGGTACTATTCGCATACCTGCGTGTTGCCAATATGCCCACAAAATGGCATACCTTATCGGACAAAGTATACGGCGAGCAACGTCTGAAGAGCTCTCTGATAGACTATTTTATCTTTAAGTATTATTACATGATTATCGAATATTTTGTATTGATTACAAATATTCTTATATGTTCATCTAGAATTAATTAAAGTATTCATTCTTAATGAATGAATGAATTGTTATTACAAATAACGTATTTTATTTTAACGATTTTGATATCCATGTAAGTATTGCATACCAAATTAGTAAGTATTATTTATTGAACAGTGTCGCTATTTATACAATTGAAGCGTACCTGCCAGTCGTCACGTGCGTTGATATAAAATTATACATATATATGTATATACAATAAATTGTTGCCAATTTCTATGGTGGGTACAATGCGAGTGTATTTAACGATTATATATTAACTGCACGTTCACCAGGGAGGGAAGAATATTTATATGTACGAAGGAATTAACAGAAGTTCGGTAAGTTGGCCAGAAAAAATTTTTTTTTATCTATTTGTAATATTTGTTCTTATTTATCTTTTCTTTATACTCGCCACTGACTTCAATGCATTTCTGAAGCCTATAGATCCACTTCTGAAGAAAGTCTTCGAAATCTTGCTTTTAAAGCTTATCAAGTTTATAGTTCAACTAACGCATTAATTAACCCCTCTTTGTTATTTAAGACCTTTCCTTTTAAATTTTTTTTATTTTTGGATATAATCAGAAATCACAAGGTGCTATATCCGGGGGATATAGTGCTGGACGTATTTCGTCGATCCCAGATATAGCAAAAAATTACTCGCTATTTCAGCAGTGTTGCCTGGCGCGTTGTCATGATGTAAAAAGTAGCGCCGCAAATCATATTTCTTACGGTTTCAACAAAATTTTCAAAACTTGTGGTAAGCACTCTTCGGTGTAGCAAACCTGCACTTACCATCTGACCCATTTGCAGTGGAATGCAGCTACGATCTTAGATCGGGTGAAGTAATCTGACATAATTACTTTTGCTGGTGTTTTTTTGCTTAGATTTTACGAGTGGGTTTGCTCCTGTTGGGCTCCATATAATAGACTGCTGTTCAGTTTCGGGATCTCACTTATAGAACCAAGATTTGTCACCAGTAACGATTTTACTAAAATTTGTACACTAACCATTTTCGAGTTTGTTTAGGAAAAATTGAGCAAAATTCACTCGAGCCTCTTTTTGGACATTATTTAAAATTCGTGGTACCGATCGTGCAGTTTTCTTCTTGTGTCCCAGATAACTACTGAATATTCGCGATGTAGCCATAATATGCAAGCCCAATTTATTAGAAATTATTTCTTGTGTCAATCGTCGGTCTTCATCAATTTTGGTCTGCACCAGAGCTACACCGACGTCATCAGTGGAAAATTTTGATCGATCTTCTCGGGACTCATCCTCTACGGAAAAATGTCCGCTCTGGAATCTTCGAAACCACCTAGAAATAGTAATTAAACGCGTTGCAATCGTGCCATATGCAATTTAGCATTCACTGAATATTTGTATTCGCTGTAAATTACGTCGAAACCTGAAGAGAATCACATCCCGAATTTCTGTTTGTGTTGATGCCAATCCATTTTAGCCGATTGTTCTACAATTTAAAAGGAAGACTAATTAAATAATTGCAAAGGATTTGGTATTTTTAGATTTAGCAAAAACAAATTGAAAGTCGCCAACTGACTGAACTTTCGTTATTCCCCTCGTATGTAGTGTACGATACAGAATGGAGAGTTCTCTGTGAAGTAGTTGCTATTAAAGTTTGCATTAAAAAAACTCCACGAGAAAATTTAGCTTTCCAAATACTTATTTTGAATAGATCTTTGCTTTTTTCAAAAATTATTTCTTTTTTTAAATAATTTACCCAATACGTTCAGAGAACGCATAACAAATTTAAGCTTACTTAATTTATCGGAATTGAAAATCAAAATTCTGTTTGAAATGGTGTTATGTTACCAACTTGGTTTTGCTTTTTTCGAAGATAAGCAAAACCGATATTCGATTCAGCTGTAATCGCACTTGTGCAAAAAACCCAGCAGTTTAATTGAATTTTTGTTCTTGTTTTTAACGCATTAGTGATTATTAACTAAAAACAAAATGACCACAGCAGTGATAGCATTTTTGATGATAGAAGGATTTGAAGAACCCATCAAAATAATACAGTGCAAAATTGTGAGGGATAAGAGCAATCTACTGGAGTTGCCAGAGTCGATGCAAGTACAATTTGTATTCTACTTTTGCATTTGCTGATAAAAAATGTGTTTGTATGTAGCTTCATAGACCGAGAGTAGCCTTTGTAATAGTGCTGGATCTCATTGATGAGAACTTACAAAGACTGCCTATCCCACCTGTGTTCCAACTGATAGCCACACTGCGGTTTTGGGCAAAAGGTTCCTATGGACGGTCTGTGGAACTCAAATATCTCCTTAGCGCGAACTACAGTCTCGGTGGTTATAACAGAAATGCTAATGGTTTGTGAACGTAAAAAATTGAGAGTTCGTGACCAATTTTACATCAAGTACCGTATTTCGGCATTGCTGGTCCATTGCTCGTGACTTACATTTTTATTAAATTTCCGCTTGCAAAGAAGTTTGCACATAATTCTGTCAACGAATAACTGCTCGATTTCATTTTGACATGCAGTTAAAATCGATACAAATTCTGTTTCGAAAATGAAACGGACATGCAAATCAATAATCGGAATGTTTAACCCCTTCAACAGAATTTTGTCGGTGTCAATTCCGATTCCGACAACAATCTGTTTCTCTAACACCTCTCAATATTCTCGAAATTTTGTAGAATTTAATAAGAAAAAACAACGGTTTCTTACAGCTGTGAAATCCATGTAACCCCTTAAGGGTGTACTTTTTATTTGATCGATCATTGTCACCGGTTTTTTTTCATGTCATCACCTTTGTCAGTTTTTAACACATTTAATGTGTTCACACTTCAACACAACATACAAACATATTTCATAAAAACGTAACATTGTTATCATTTGATGAGATCGCGTGAAAGGAACATACGAGGCCAGTTGATAAGCATACATATTTATGTATATACATATGTATGTACATAATATTTACTTTTTATATATTTAATCAAGTGTATCTATAACTTGAGTAATACCTCATAGTTTTATTGCCTCCAGTTCGTAGTGGCATGTGATGGCAACGTGTGATTTTGTAAATAAATAGTATATATGTATGTACATACGCACAAGTAATAAAATCTGATAGTTAGTATGCTATATTAAAGCAACAATAAACATATGTATACAACAATAAAATTTAAAATTTGAAAATATTGCGTTCCCGGATGTTGTTCACATGCTAAGCACTTCATTGGTCTCTGACTGGCGTGCGACGAAATGGATAAAATGTATGACACATAGACGCTAACTGCATGTACATATATCTGAATGTATGTGCGAATGTATAAAAAAAAGTAAGAGGAGAAAAACACAGGGCACGTGAACGTGACAAATACTTGTTCACCTCGAGTCGTTATGATTTTATATTGAGTGTTTTTGACTTTCGCCTGATTGGCATATCCACGTTTCCACGAAGACCGTCGTTCAAGTTGGGTATGGACATTGGAAAGGAAATCTTGGTACTTATATACCATATATACGTGCTAAATACTTATATGTAAATGTTTATACTACATACATTTTGGTTTTTGTTTGGAAGGCAAACGTGTTTTTACATTTGTTCATAACCATATAAAGTATTTAGACACATACATACGTATATATTATATATGCATTCGCTTTGACTCACGAAAATTTTGTGGAAATAATTTTTAAAAGAAAGGTGAAATTGCTGGAACAAATAAACGATTATTCAAAATCGCACTGGGCGTATGAGTTACCAATGAATGAAAAAACAACTCGAATGTTTCATGCATTTTTACCTATGTATATATTATATACATATGTACATACCTACGTATGCTAATTAATGAAATATATAATATTAAAAAAAATATATGAATTGTAGCAACAACGATAGCGAAAAAATCCATTAAGTCTTAATATTTATACAAATAAAATATGAGCACACATTCGTTTGTACAAACGTGCCGATAACAATAAATAATTGTCGAAAGCAATAAAACAAATATAAAACACAGAAAACAAAAGCAAAAGAAAAAAAAAAAGCAATTAACCAGTAAAGTTGTTAAGCTCGAACGAGCGCACAAGCTGTCGAACAGCAAATGAAACGCCGTACTACCGTTGAACGTTTCAACGCCAACGAAATTCATTTGGAATGACGTAATTCCTCACGCGATTCCAGCGTGTCAGCATTCAATTCGTGGCATATTCGACGGTCACGTGTTGATGAAATGAATTTCTGTGCCAAAGCTTACATATGTATGTACATACGTATGTGTATGTGTGTTATACATATGTACATACATACAAATGTAGCCATACGATTGATTGGTTTCCTGAACTGAACACACAAAAATATACAGACATTGCTAGGCAAATACATGTACATACATACATATATATTGTTTAGTCTTTGCTCTTTATGGTATTTTCTGTATATATTTATACAAGTTGCTTCGAAAACGTGTAAGCGTAGTGCAAAAACAATTATAATGGAAAGAGATACAAGCTTGTGTACACTATCGCATGGCTGCTACTAAACGAATTAGCACTGTTTAAGTGTAAATAAATAATACTTTGCATTGCTAAATTTTCTATTTTCGAATAATGAATTTCATTGCTTTTCGTTATGCTTTTAGTTATTTTGTTATTTTTGGGGGCATGGCACGTATCAGTTTGTGTATTTTTAGAACTTTATTTTCTCGTTTTTTAATTGGACGCGCGTAAAATTTGTTTGCCTCTTTTATTGTTATTTGAATTTGTTTTTTTTTTATTTTTTTTCACTAATGCTTTGACATACTGTTCATACTTAGATACTATCACATGTATGTATGTATATCAATGTATATTCAGACAAAATGTGTTCATACATACATATGTATGTACATGTACGCATTAATATGTATATGTAAGTATGTATATGCTTAATTAGTATGCCTTCAATTTTCTATTAAATGGTAATATATACATATATAATATAATTCTTCTATAAATATATATTCAGAGGTATATGTAATGTACACTTTTAGGTGTTATTTGGATGAA